CTACACATGTTAAAGCAGACCTTGATGGGAAAACAAATTGATTGTGCCGATAAACAAGCTTAAAAATCTTTGCTGTTACTTCATGGACGTTTTCTAGGAGTTTATGTTTTTCAAAATACAAGGTCTTTAACAAAAAATAACGTATACTTATTGTCGTCGGATTAACACCAAATTTTCACAGCTTTAAGGTGACAATGAGAGGAACTTGAATGTGTCCAGACAAACTATTTCATCGATTATTTACCAACGAGCTGTGGTTTGAGTTGGGGGCAATGCGACTAAACCAGTAATTGAAATTCAGGACACTATTTTTTAAAACGCGTTGCTTGAATAAAACTAACCAGACACATTCAATTTACCAGACTATTGAACAACTAAGAAAAGTGAAAAAAATACTTCTTATCGCCAGCATAAATGCGTAATTTTTTTTTTTTTTACAGAAAAAGTAATTTTTCACCTTTGATTGAGTAACGCGTCGTAGAATGCAGATACGGGCATGCAAAATACACTTTTGAAAAGCTTGAAGTCTGGCGATTCTAAAAATATATACTTTCCCGGGTCTATTTGTAGTCATTTAGTCACAATTAGAAGATGAAAACAAGTATGCAAATAATAGTCCCGCTACCTTAAATGCAGTACCCAGTATTTAATTTTAGGCAAAACGAGTGCCATTGGTAAAATTGACAAAACAATTTTTCCCATGGGTGGATTTCGGTGGATTTTGGATATGTTACTCAGCTTAAAATTGCGCTTCCCATGATACCAAACTCAACTTGGTACAAATTTATTCCCAGTAAGGTCCATTTTGAACTTAAAACGACTTCACTATATCTACATTAAATGTCGTAAATCATACACAAATTTCAATTTGGATTCTTAAACAGAAATTATCAAATATATTATGAAAATGTAATTAGAAATTTGCTTTATCTGTAAAGTGTGAAAACCTACTAGTATTTTTTTTTTACTGTAAATGGAACTTTCATTTTTATTTCCTGTAAAACGTAAAACTTTTTAGCAGGTTGAGTCGACGTACAACCAGTCAGTTATCTCAATTATTAACAATAATATAAGCAAATATCATACTTCTGTCAACGTAAAACCATAAGTTACAGCTCAGGGGCTCGAGAACGTTTTCGCCTAGAGGCTTTCTCGGTCAGTCGACGAGCTCCTGTGAGTTACAGCGTGCCATAATTTTGCGGTATTGCACTGGGTATTTTCATCCTACCATATTAGGAAATGCAAATTTTAAATATGGAGCGATTACGCGCGTGAGCGTTCTCTTAATAATAAAAACAAAACTAGCAGCCCCCAGGGTTTGACCGGGCTCCATACAAAGAAGTTCACTAAATCTGTTCTAAACTTGTCCGATTTTGTTCGATATTGGCATTCCCATGATGTATCCTTGATAGGAAAAGGTGTATAATAATAACGTTATTGCGAGGACACCGAAAAGTATGCACTCAGTACACGTCACATCGACCGATACTTCTGTTGTACTGATGTATCCTCGTAATAAGGGAATCACCAGTTAATTTGACCGAGGGGGTGCCGGTGAATTTTACATGATATTGTTAAATAATCACAAGTCCCCCCTAGGTGTATATTAAAAATTGGGCTGTCCCCCCTTAGAAAAAGACAAAATATGATAGCCCCTCCCCCATGATTTTTTTTTAAACAATAAAGATTTACATTAATGAATCGTTGCATGCTTCTAGGTTCCAGCTCTTCTCCCTGACCTTGTCACTACAGTTTAAGGAACTATTAAGTCATCAGTCTCTATTTCCTCTGCACTGTCACCGAGATCATCACCATCAGAGTCCTCTGAGTCAGTTTCGTCAGTGTTGTACATTCTGGTGTTTACAGTTTGTAAATGTTCAGTGATTTTATGTGTTTTTGCTTGATCTTTATATGATTTTCTGATTACATCATTGGTAATTGCTTTCATTTTGTCTTCTTTTTTTGGTAGCTTATTATGGTCCAGGTACTTATCCAACTCAGCTGCTGTCAATGTTTTTAGTGTTCCATTCAACACCAAAGAAATCCAGTCATAATCCTGCTTCTTTTTTTGTTGTTTCTTTCTACCTTTTTCCCTAATGGTTTTCATTTGCTTTAGTGTGGTAAGGTGTTGTAAATAGTCTATGACATATTGCTCTTCCACTGCATACTTAGAAGAAAATTCTTTGATGCTCTCAGTATTCTTCAAAGATAAAAGCTCATTTTTGATGTTGAAACGCGGCTGCCAATCATCTGGCTGTCTTTTTTCACTATTACTATTCACACATGGGGTCTCATGCAAGCTTAAGAAGTGGTACGGCCTCTCACTGTTTGTCACTGGTTGGGGAAAGTTACTCTGACCTTTTTACCAGTTATGGAAGACACCTAAAACAGTGGGCTAGTGAACAGACGGCTTACAATGACAGCATGGTGAGTGAACTGCAGTCAATCTACTGAGTTCATGGCAGATCTTGATAAAACACTGACTTGGTCAAGAAATGTATTTCATGGACTGTCAGATGTAAGTAAAAGAAGAATAAGTAGAGAAAAGTGAAGAAGCGAAAACGAGATCGTTTTGCAAGAGAAGTTACAGCTTTGTTACAAAGGATAACATCCACTGAGGTTGTACAAAGATTTTTCCCTGATTGTATACATGGTTCAGTAGATTTTGAAATCTCAGATCAAACTGAAGCCAATTTGAAGTTGTCAAAGATGGATGCAGTATATTTGCAATACCTCATTCATCGCAATGTCTTCTGTGCTGCAGCTAAGCAGCAGATGATGAAGCTGTATGAAGAACTGAAGTTAAAATATGATTGCCTGTCTGATAGTTCCAGTGGAGAAGTTAGAGGATGGTGAAAGTGGTTCTTATGATCCTGGTGATAGTGCCGATACTGACATTCTTTGCGATGAGGATAGAGATTGATAGGAATGGAGAGGATCAAAAATAGATGCCTAGGTTCAATATCTACAGTTCCTCAGAAAGTTGTGTTTTATTAAAAAATATGAAAACTTTTTTTATATATTTTATATATTTTATTTATTTACATACAAAATATTACACTATATAAATATATTTTATCTTTATATTTTGTGTTATATTAGTGTGTTTGTTTTTCACAAACTTGTTTAAAAGGTTTGTTTTTCTTCATACAGTGGAAAGTGCAGTAAGTTTTTTATGCTTTTTACAGAGGTTTATACTGTTGTTTACAAATGAAGTTTCATGTTTTATACTAATTTGTGCAATAAAACAAACAATAACTCTTTCTCATTGCAGTATGTTCATCACAGCAGCCGTCATCTATACAATATATGTGAATAAACCCAGAAAATTATACACCCCCCTCCTTCACCCTTGGAAAAATTGTTAGCCCCCCTTTTTCATATACAGAAAATGGAAAGCCCCCCTTAGAATTGCCCGGCACCCCCAGGCCAGATGAACTGGTGATTCCCTAAAGTACCGGTAATTTCATTGAAAAGAGTTTAAAGATTTTTTTTAGACTTTTTTACTGTTTTTGACTTGAAGCTGTCTGTCTGTAGAAACCTTAGAGATAATATGTAAGTGTATTCGATTCCCACTCACTCATTCAAAGTTATGCTTTATTAATTTCCATATCACAATAAAACAAAAACAAACAAAAAAAACATCTATTTTATCTACTAAAACTGTTGAATTTAAATCAGTTTCAGTTGACATTTCTAGTGTGTGCTGACAAGATCCAGAATTACGAATGAATCCCCTTACCTATCTTTAAAAGGCGGTAGTCGTCGCGCTGCACATGTGCGACATTTGTGTTGATAAACATTGTTTTCCCACAATCCAATGCGCTCTTCTAATGGAAATCAAAAGTATGAGGTTCGACCTGGGCGCGACTAACACTAATTACCGCTCATAACTCCTTCGATACCTTCTAAACACCTAATAAAATACCTAATTAAAGCAATTTACCAACAGATATATAAAATGAGGAATAAATAAAAAAAATTGTCTTGATTGAATTGCATACGTCTGTGTGGAGACGAAAAATCTTCAAACATCCACAAAAAATGTTAACAATTAGGGCAGACACTGGGGATAAAAATGTGTTAACTCCATATTGGATTTTGCAAAGAATTGCGGGATAAAAAAATTGAACTGTAGAGGGGATTTGGGGAAAACTTGCATCTTCCATAGAGCCCTAAGTTAAAATCAACTGTTTACCACTCATGTTTTCAAGCAAACATTAATGTTGAACTTTCCATTAACTTTACTGAGAAGATTGTTTCGAAGATTTTTTTTTACTGTTTTTGGCAGCAAACTGTCTAACTGTAGGAATCATACTGATAGGCAAGTGTATCTGATTTCTAATCACTCATTTTTATTTATGTTTCATTTTTCATGTCACAGTTGAAAACATCTATCTATCTTGTCTACTAAAAAGTTTCAGTTTAATTTAAATTAGTTTTAGAAGACATCTGATATATGAAGATTTCTCCACCACCTTTCAAAAACATGCCACGCCCCCTCTAACTGAACTCTATTTTTTACTGCGCGAGATGTCTCGACGAAGATCTGTATTATCTGATTTGAATGGCAATGACGGGGAGAGAAGTCACAGCGAGCGCTGAACTGAATCGG